ACCAGTGGATCAGTTAGTTTAATATCTTTATTATGCACCCATACCCATCCTGTGGACGGTAGTCAAAAGATTACAAGGCACAGTACTCGCTCCCATCTTGTTCCTCATCCTTATATCCGACATAGACAAGGATGTCAGCCACAGCACCGTGTCTTCCTTTGCAGATGACACCCGAATCTGCATGACAGTGCAAGGCCTGGAGCCTTGCAGACACTGCAAGGCTCCAGGCGGACATCAACCAAATCTTTCAGTGGGCTGCAGAAAACAATATGAAGTTCAACGATGAGAAATTTCAATTACTCAGATATGGTAAACACGAGGAAATTAAATCTTCATCAGAGTACAAAACAAATTCCAGCCACAAAATAGAGCGAAACACCAACGTCAAAGACCTGGGAGTGATCATGTCGGAGGATCTCACCTTCAAGGACCATAACATTGTATCAATCGCATCTGCTAGAAAAATGACAGGATGGATAATGAGAACCTTCAAAACTAGGGAGGCCAAGCCCATGATGACACTCTTCAGGTCACTTGTTCTATCTAGGCTGGAATATTGCTGCACACTAACAGCACCTTTCAAGGCAGGTGAAATTGCTGACCTAGAAAATGTACAGAGAACCTTCACAGCGCGCATAACGGAGATAAAACACCTCAATTACTGGGAGCGCTTGAGGTTCCTAAACCTGTATTCCCTGGAACGCAGGCGGGAGAGAGACATGATTATATACACCTGGAAAATCCTAGAGGGACTAGTACCGAACTTGCACACGAAAATCACTCACTACGAAAGCAAAAGACTTGGCAGACGATGCACCATCCCCCAATGAAAAGCAGGGGGTGTCACTAGCACGTTAGAGAACCATACAATAAGTGTCAGGGGCCCGAGGACTGTTCAACTGCCTCCCAGCATACATAAGGGGGATTACCAACAGACCCCTGGCAGTCTTCAAGCTGGCACTGGACAAGCACCTAAAGTCGGTTCCTGACCAGCCGGGCTGTGGTTCGTACGTTGGTTTGCGTGCAGCCAGCAGCAGCAGCCTGGTTGATCAGGCTCTGATCCACCAGGAGGCCTGGTCACAGACCGGGCCGCGGGGGCGTTGACCCCCGGAACTCTCTCCAGGTAAACTCCAGGTACATAATGGGTCCAGGGACTGGACCCCAAAGTTATGATAGCTGAACTAGTTACAAAGGTAATGAACTCCAGGTAGATCTGGTCACAATCATGGCAAGTTACAAAGGTAATGAATCACTCACTCCTATACATGGTTAGTCATGAACAAATTACAAAGTAATGAGCCACTGATACGTCCACCAGTGGATCACCATTAGATATCGCTCAGTTAACTTTTTCCATGCGTTACATTTTCTTAGGAAAACCAGCCGCAGTGTTCAGCTTTGTTTACAGGTAACACTATCAGCAAAGTTCCTCCCATCAATGTCGATAAAAACTAATATAGGAAACTTTTTATATAACATATAACAACCCTGTTATTATTATTATTATTATTATTATTATTATTATTATTATTATTATTATTATTATTATAAAGAATCAAAAGCACAATACCGTGATAAACATTATACACGGTATCACGTCATTATCAGTTCCTCACAGCTGAGTGCTGGCTATTGTTCGTGTTTTCCATCTTTCAAAAATATCTTATGAACACCGTATATGTAACCCATTGTATGTATACCGAGAGGTATATGTAACCCATTGTATGTATACCGATAGGTATATGTAACCCATTGTATGTATACCGAGAGGTGTATGTCACTCAGTGTATGTATACCGAGAGGTGTATGTCACTCAGTGTATGTATACCGAGAGGTGTATGTCACTCAGTGTATGTATACCGAGAGGTATATGTCACTCAGTGTATGTATACCGAGAGGTGTATGTCACTCAGTGTATGTATACCGAGAGGTGTATGTCAGTATATGTATGTATACCGAGAGGTGTATGTCACTCAGTGTATGTATACCGAGAGGTGTATGTCACTCAGTGTATGTATACCGAGAGGTGTATGTCACTCAGTGTATGTATACCGAGAGGTGTATGTCACTCAGTGTATGTATACCGGAGAGGTGTATGTCACTCAGTGTATGTATACCGAGAGGTGTATGTCACTCAGTGTATGTATACCGAGAGGTGTATGTCAGTATATGTATGTATACCGAGAGGTGTATGTCACTCAGTGTATGTATACCGAGAGGTGTATGTCACTCAGTGTATGTATACCGAGAGGTGTATGTCACTCAGTGTATGTATACCGAGAGGTGTATGTCACTCAGTGTATGTATACCGAGAGGTGTATGTCACTCAGTGTATGTATACCGAGAGGTGTATGTCACTCAGTGTATGTATACCGAGAGGTGTATGTCACTCAGTGTATGTATACCGAGAGGTGTATGTCACTCAGTGTTTTACACACCCTACGTTCACATACAATTTTTCCTTTCTATCTGTATATAAATTTATATAATCTTAATTTTTTCACAATTATACATGAGTACATTTATTCAGAATTATAGATCACCAAAAAATTAATTCTCAATTATAGTTCTGCAGAAGTTTTCAATCAATGAACTTGTATTAAATATAGGGTCATGTGAGGAGACTGTTATTGTGGTGGCTATGGTAGCGATAGTCTGATTGTATTGAACCCTGAGACCTGGTGTGACTGTAGTGGGACCTGGGGAGACTGTAGTGGGACCTGGGGTGACTGTAGTGGGACCTGGGGTGACTGTAGTGGGACCTGGGGTGACTAGTGGGACCTGGGGTGACTGTAGTGGGACCTGGGGTGACTGTAGTGGGACCTGGGGTTACTGTAGTGGGACCTGGGGTGACTGTAGTGGGACCTGGAGTGAGTATAGAGAAACCTGGGAAGTGTGTATTAAGACATTGTACTGGCACTTGGCTCTATCCAGAGAGACCTGGAAGGTGTATAGTGGGACCTGAGTGTGTGTGTTGGGGCCTAGGTGTGTGTGTTGTGGGACCTATGTGCGTGTGCAATGGGATCTGGGTGTGCCCTTGAAGTTTCTGAACCTGTACTCCCTGGAACGCAGGCGGGAGAGATACGTGATTATATACACCTGGAAAATCGTAGAAGGACTGGTACCAAACTTGCACACGAAAATCATTCTCTACGAAAGCAAAAGACTCGGCAGACGATGCGACATCCCCCCCCCCAATGAAAAGCAGGGGTGTCACTAGCACGTTAAGTGACAACACAATAAGTGTCAGGGGCCCAAGACTGTTCAACTGCCTCCCAGCATACATAAGGGGGATTACCAATAGACCCCTGGTTGTCTTCAAGCAGGTACTGGACAAGCACCTAAAGTCGGTACCTGCCCAGCCGGGCTGTGGTTCGTACGTTGGATTGCGTGCAGCCAGTAGTAAGAGCCTGGTTGATCAGGTTCTGATCCACCATGAGACCTGGTCAAAGACCGGGCCGCGAGGCGCTGACCCCCGGAACTCTCTCCAGGTAAACTCCAGGTGTGTGGTGGGATCTGGGTGTGCATAGTGGGTACTACGTGTATGCAGTGGGACCTGGGTGTGTGAAGTGGGACCTGGGTGAGTGTAATGGGATATGGGAGTGTTTAGTGGGAACTGAGTGAGTGTAGTGGCACCTGGGTGAGTGTAGTGGCACCTGGGTGAGTATAGTGGGACCTAGGTGAATGTATTGGGACATAGGAATGTGTAGTGAAACACAGGAGTGTAAAATTTTGATTATTGTCACACCCTGCGTCATTATGTACTGGAGTGCGATAAAATTAATGAATTTAGAAACAACTCACTCAGAAGTGTTCAAGAAATGGCTAAGTATTTTATCCATAGTGGTATATTACAGACCATTCTGGAGAAATACCCTGACTTTGCTAGCTGTAAATAAAGCATTACCACATATGTGCATGTGTGTGTGTGTGTGTGTGTGTGTGTGTGTGTGTGTGTGTGTGTGTGTGTGTGTGTGTGTGAGTGTGTGTGTGTGTGTGTGTGTGTGTGTGTGTGTGTGTGTGTGTGTGTGTGTGTGTGTGTTATGAGTGTGTGAGTGTGTGTTTTGTGTGTGTGTGTGTGTGTGTGTATGAGTGTGTGAGTGTGTGTGTGTGTGGGGTGTGTGTGTGTATGAGTGTGTGAGTGTGTGGTGTGTGTGTGTGTGTGTGAGTATGAGTGTGTGTGTATGAGTGTGTGTGTGTGTGTGTATGAGTGTGTGTGTGTGTGTATGAGTGTGTGCGCGTGTGTGTGTATGAGTTTGTGTGTGTGTGTGTGTGTGTGTGTGTGTGTGTGTGTGTGTGTGTGTTTATGTGTGTGTGTATGAATTTGTATGTGTGTGTGTGTGTGTGTGAGACAGAGAGACTCAGCAATCAACATTTGCACCAATAACTCACTACAGTTGTGACCGGGTGTGGAAGTGTGAATTGCTCATTACTCTAAAATTTGTTCATGATTGCAGCCATGTATAAACGTAAGTAACCATTCTTACAGTATTCATTACCTTTGTAACTTGTGAGTTCATTACCTTTGTAACTTGTGAGTTCATTAAATACCTTTGTAACTTGTCATGATTGTGACTAGACCTACATGGAGTTCATTACCTTTGTAAATTGTGAGTTCATTACCTTTGTAAATTGTGAATTCATTACCTCTGTAACTTGCTCAGCTATCAAAACTTTGAGGCCCAGTCCCTGGACCCATTATGTACCTCTGTAATCTTTTGACTACCGCCCACAGGATGGGTATGGGGTGCATAATAAACATATTAAACTAAAAACTGTAAAATTCTGCTGGTCAGGGCGCCGTCATCCTGCCTGTTTTACAACTATGGATTTTAGAACGTAAACATAATGGACAGGATTAGTGAATAAACCAGGTTACTCAGATTTATGTCTCGAGGTCAGAACTTAAAAAAAAAAATCTACCTCAGTAAAGTTTTGTTTTAGGTAGGTAACCCAGTTCAGTCAAATAAAGTGACTTATTTTCCCTTGTAACATTACAGGACCGGTATATATTGAGCAGGAGTGTAGCATCTCAGTGTAGCGCACCAGCTGGTACACTGATCAAGCTTCTCAGTCAGCCAGAATTATAATGTAACGTGTCTTCCAGAATCAGCTTCCATGTTGCTGCCAGATATCACCCCCAACTGCTTCCCTGGTAAGTTAACACCAGTTGTATCAGTCCATATACACATCTGCCTATATATATATATAATATATATATATATATATATATATATATATATATATATATATATATATATATATATATATATATATCCATACCTCACCTATGCTATTTGTGCTTGGGGATCAACTGCAGCAACACACCTAAAGCCAATAACCCAACAAAAAGCTGCAGTAAGAATAATCACTAAATCCCATCCCTGGCAACACACCCCCCCACTCTTCATAGACCTAAACTTACTCCCAGTTCAGTACATCCACACTTACTACTGTGCAATCTACATCTACAGGGCCTTAAACTCTAATATCAACCTTGACCTAAAACGCTTTCTTGATAGTTGTGACAGAACCCACAGGCATAACACCAGACACAAACATCTCTACGACATTCCCTGTGTCCGACTAAACCTTTACAAAAATTCAATGTATGTCAAAGGCCCTAAAATCTGGAATACCCTACCTGAGAACTCTAGAACTGCAGACACATTCATCACCTTCAAAACTACCATTAGAAAACATCTTATCTCCCTGATACACCCCGTCAACTAACTACACGAATACCACCTGGTGGTTCACACTTACACTCACTCACTCATTTGACCATAAACAGAAATATTAATCTCAATCTTAAAATAATGAATCCTGTGATACTTCAATACTGAAACTATGTACTGTGCCAAAACAAAAGCATTCACATTGCTAAACTCACAAACTAGTATTTAGTCACTTAGCCATAATACCAACTTACCTCATAATTTGTAATATTTTACAATTAAGAATAAAACTAAGTCTGCCCGAAATGCCTAGCCATGCTAAGCGTTCTAGTGGTACACTCTGTAATCACAATTTTACTACATGTAAACCACACAATAACCAAATTTCTGTAAACTCAGCACTGTAATCCTTATAGAGAATAAAATTTGAATTTGAATATATATATATATATATATATATTTTATATATATATATATATATATATATATATATATATATATATATATATATATATATATATACAGAACAACCACTGCGCTTTCGTGACTTCTCACATTATCATAGTTCCTTGATAATGTGAGAAGTCACGAAAGCGCTTGGAATTTCACTATTTTTTTCAGTGATTGCTCTGCATATTGTGATTATATATATATATATATATATATATATATATATATATATATATATAATATATTTAAATTATAGGGAAGTACCACCTCTATAGCTGGAATGGGGACCCTCATCCTCAGAGAAGACAATAAACGTACCTCAGGGAAAACTCAAGGTTCTCCCCGTAGATGTTTAAATATTTTCTTCTCCTACCACCCCCTATATATTTTATATTCTATGTGAACATTTATTAATAAACAGAATACATTTACAGAAAAAACAAACATGAATACAATGGCACAATGTATCAAAGATCATGAATTTCCTCCAGCTCCTCCGAGGCTGGATGCGAGCCAAGTATGCAGCAAGCATTTCCCCTCTGGATGGCTACGCTGAGGCGCTGGAACATGAAAGTGGCTGCCCTTGGGTCCCTGGTGGTGTCGATGAGTCTGGAACCCAATTCTTCGAGGAAACGTGTGGCATTTTTTCCCCATGATCCCACTGGGACAAATTGATACTGTTGGCTTATGTCCCTGTACTTGCTGATCTTGTACTCCTCCCTGTGGTCAGCAGCTCCTCCCTGTCGCCCCACACTGTGATGAATGTAAGTGTCAGCCAGTGTGGACACGGGTATAGTCCCATGCTAAGAGCTTGCCATTCTTCCAAGGATAGATGGTGATCCCGTCGGGGCGGTTTGCTGGGTTGTGGGTATTGTTGGCTGCTAGTGATCGGGGCTCCCTCTCGGCTGGGCATCCAGCTGTAACAAGGGTTCTCTTAATGATGTCGTTGACCTCATTGTGTCTTGCATGCCAGCCCTTGGTTTGGGAACAGTTAAGACCATGTAGACCATATTGTTCTGCTTGCGCTTCGCCGCAAATACACGTGTGTGTGTGTGTATGTATGTAATATAATATATATATATATATATATATATATATATTATATATTATATATAGGTTAGGTTTCTAAGTTAGGTTTGGTCCAAAAATATTTTTTACGCCATTGTGAATGAAAAAGCCTAATTTTTGAGGGGGTTTAGATCTACTTAGTAAGTTTAGATTTTTAGCCACTGTCTGGCAAAATGTTTCCACAATAAAGAATACAAAATGCTGCACAAATGTAGTATTCTTCAACTTGTTGGTTTTCCAAAATTATTTACATCACATCTGTCAGACACAACATCTTACGATCTTGATACAGGGAATTATTCCGCTCTTGTCTAACCTATAGACATGACTTACACTAATGACTCTGCCTCCTGCTGCTTCTACTCACCTGACTGCAATTTATAAGTCACTTCCCCGCGCATAATGTGTACACTTCTCAAGATTGATGGACTGAACACATTGATCAACTCCAGGCTGAGGGACTGTTTACCTCACACTCCTGATTTTCCACCTTTTTTCTCTGCATTGGACTGAAGAAGTCACTGGCTGGTGAAACGTTTCCACAATAAAGATTTGTAAATGTTGCTCAAGTGTCTCATTCTTCAAGTTAGTGGTACCTTTATCCTCACTGACCACTGAAGTACAATCTTCCTGGCGAACAGAAAAGTGATTTCCTACCTTTAAATCTGATCTTTTAACCTTCCTGGCATCGATGTTTTTTCCTTTACTGGAAACGTGTACTTGTTTGTAGCGGTTGCCAATCTACTCCTCACTGCTGGTAGCCTGTTTCCTTCACTAACTCCAGCCATCTTACATTCATTGCTATTCTATTCCAGCCGAATTTTCACCTTCATGTTTTCCTCTTTGAGAAGTAGAACTCTTCCTTCAACACTTTGAACATACACTCCAAAACTCTTCAGAAGCAAGACATGGTGCTCTGTAACACCCCACACTAATTGTACAAGATAGCTGAGGATGAGGCTGGTCGCTACTGTTCCGCGGCCCGGGTCTTGTCCAGTTGGTGACCCGGCGTAGATAGCTCAGGACAGGTAGCAAACTCTCGTGACCTCAGTGAATGACTAACGACCTCACTGTACTGAGAACTGACCTCACTGTACTGAGAACTGACCTCACTGTACTGAGAACTGACCTCACTGTACTGACCTCACTGTACTGACCACTGACCTCACTGTACTGACCACTGACCTCACTGTACTGACCACTGACCTCACTGTACTGACCACTGACCTCACTCTACTGACCACTGACCTCACTGTACTGACCACTGACCTCACTCTACTGACCACTAACCTCAGTGAACATACGTTTATATTCTACTTAATTATTCGTTCTAAAATATGTGTTAAATAAAAGTTGTGTTTACAATGACCACTACAAATATTATATCAAATTATTATAAAAATAACACATTGTATATCATAAACTAAGTCGTTGTAAACGAGATCAACATTTGCAAAATTGTAGCATTAATAAATTAACCTAATTAACAATTGTTCAGAAGTTGCAAGTTAATTTTAAAGCTGCTAGAAATGTTCTGTATATCCAGATGATGTTTTATAGAGTATGTCAATCGTGTTAAATAATCTTATACCAAATGTACACTTTATGGAAATAAAAATAATCGATAATTATAAGTGTGAGATGGGTCTGACGACCTGTCTAGCATGGGTCAGTAGGCCTACTGTAGTGCTATTTTTTTGTTATGACTAAGTAAGATACAGCAAAACTTAGTGAGACATATCGAGACTTAACGTGACTCAACGAGAAACAGCGAGACTCTACGAGATTCCGAGGAACAGTAAAATGGTGGACACCCACACCAAGAGCACACTTTAGGAGTATTTAAGGTTGTATCAGTGAGTGTGGTCACTGGCCTGACAAGTGACCACCTCTGGTGAACACGTGATGTGTTGAATGACAAGTCTGCAGATTAGTCCATCACTCCCAGACGATTTCTGGGCAAACATTGTGCTACTAATCAGTATGCAGAGGTCAGACGTTATATAGCTATATGATAACAATTACTGTTGATGATAAGTAGACACACTCACAGCACCTTTCAAGGCAGGTGAAATTGCTGACCTAGAAAATATACAGAGAACCTTCACGGCGTGTATAACGGAGATAAAACACCTCAATTACTGGGAGCGCTTGAGGTTCCTGAACCTGTATTCCCTGGAACGCAGGGGGGAGAGATACATGATTATATACACCTGGAAAATCCTAGAGGGATTAATACCGAACTTGCACACGAAAATCACTCACTACGAAAGCAAAAGACTCGGCAGACGATGCAACATCCCCCCCAATGAAAAGCAGGGGTGTCACTGGCACGTTAAGTGACAACACAGTAAGTGTCAGGGGTCTAAGACTGTTCAACTGCCTCCCAGCATACATAAGGGGGATTACCAATAGACCCCTGGTTGTCTTCAACCAGGCACTGGACAAGCACCTAAAATCGGTACCTGACCAGTCGGGCTGTGGCTCGTACGGTGGATTGCGTGAAGCCAGCAACAACAGCCTGGTTGATCAGGCCCTGATCCACCATGAGGCCTGGTCACAGACCGGGCCGCGGGGTGTTGACCCCCCGGAACTCTCTCCAGGTAAACACTACAAACATGAAGTAATTTTAGAAAATATTGTTCCTCGTCCCAGAAGTGAGGCTCGACACCATTCCATAAAATGAAGGCCATGTTATATTTCACAGTCATGTGTCGCGTGTATATCACGCAGAGAATTCTCAATATGTAAAGAATGAGAAGGCATAATTCCATGACTGGAACAATACACAAGCAACCCGCATATAGGAGACCGAAACTTACGACGACGTTTCGGTCTAACTTGGCCCATTCAATAGTTAATAGTTTAAGTAGGACCGAAATGCTGCAGACTCCTATGAGCGGGTTATTTGTTTATTAGCATTCAAAATGTAGAAATTAGAAAATGTGGAGCTACCAAA